CCTCAGCACCTTGTGGCCCACAGACACCGTAATAAAGGCTAGAAAACATATGACCCACAGGCCCTCAGACGATCAATGATATCAGAACGTACCGAAGACCACGCAAAGCTAAGATCATCCTAGAACTCCACATATGGCATAGTTCACTGAAAATAAATATAATCTGGATTGTAATTATATTATTATGTGTATTACATAAAGCGATTTGGTTGAGAACATTGTATGCCTTACTTTATATAAACTGCCAATTTAAGTATTAACATAAGGCAGATATTAAAAGAAAATGACCCTGATTTTAATGATTCCTTGATATTTCACAAATGTTCATGAACTCTTGAGGGCCTTCATGGACTGGGGAAGTGACACTTTATAGCTATCAGCTAACAGGTCATTCGAATATGAGATTAGCAAGCTATATGCAACTCATGTCCTACTCTGTTCTTCCTTCCCTATCGTGTCGATTCTGACTCTTTTTCCTGAATATTTTTCTGTCATATGGGGAAAAAGCATCTAGACCAGTGGTTCTCAACCTCTGGTCCTTTAAACACAGTTCCTCATGTTGTGACCCAACCATAAAATTATTTTCGTTGCTACTTTATAACTGTAATGTTGCTACTGTTATGAATCGTAATGTAAATATCTGATATGCAGGATGGTCTTAGGCGACCCTGTGAAAGGGTTGTTTGACCGCCAAAGGGGTCGCGACCCACAGGTTGAGAACCGCTGATCTATACTCATTACTACCCAGTCCTTAACATTCACTGAAGCCCGTAAAAGTTGACTTCAGCCCTTGGCTCTCCACAGACACTTCACTCTGGGAGAGAACATGTGCCATCTGCCAGTCCTCAGATCCTCCCACCCCGTGACAACATCTGGCATCACTGACAATGTCCCTCAGTAACCTGACACTGAACTTGCCTGCGTTGCTTCTGGCTCCACTTTTAATAGTAAAATCTCGATGTTTCTAAAGTATATTATTCTTACCTTCTAGTGATGGAAAGCAAAGACTTTGGGGTGCAACAACTCTTAGTTCCAACGCAGGCATTGCCACTTACTAGCTATGTGCCTGTGAGCAAGTTAATCTCTCACCCTTCAGTCATCTCATATGCATAAAAGGATAACACATGTAATAAGAACGTTGTACGTACATAAAAATACTGTGAAACATATGTGCCATGGGAATTGTATACATTTTAATATATATGTTTTAAATATATATATTTTAAATGTGTCTTTATATGCATGTGAGATAAACACTCTATATTAGATCAAAAGTATATAATACAATGAACATCCATTAATACTCTGACATGTCAATCTCATGGCTCTTTATTTCTATATTACACTTTCTACCACTAAATTCTCACAAGGCTGAGCCCCACGACTCCAACTGTCTGCTGGACATCAGACCACAACTAAAATTCAGCTTCTTATAAAGTGAACTCACTCGTGCCCATTTTTTCTTTCCTATTATTAATGGCACTAATACTCCCCTGGATCGAGTCCTCAGCATCACTTAAAAGTCTGTCCTTTGAGAAGCCCCACAAATCCAGGCCCTGGATGCTGACTGGTCTCCAGCTGTAACTCCCACTCTCACACTGGGCCTTAATCTGCACCATGTGATGCCTCCTGGTCTTTTATTCCTCTACTTCCTACCGCAAACCTTGCTGCCAAACTAAGCTTCCTGAAGCAGGTGACCTGAAAACCACGAGAGGCCCTGGTCCCTATAAAATTATGCCCAAACATCCTTGGGTGGCATTCCCAACCTCCCTGCACCTGGCCTGACTCTCCAGTCTCACCCCGCACCACTCACCCAGGTTCCAACAGGAGCCACTTTCGCAGAACACCCACTTTCTGTGCTTTTCTGATTACATGATCCCCCTGTACCTGAAATGTCCTCTTAAAATACCCCCACCTATTCTAACTCCATTCCAAAACAACACACCATTATTCAAGACACTTTCCAATCCCGGACACCGGGATGGAATCCATCGAAAGTCTCGTCAGCTTCTCTCTGTCTCTCTACTCTTATTCCCTGCCATCTCTTGGAGTTACTGTTGGACATTTCTTCTTTCCCCTACTGGACTCATGGTCCTCCTTCCCCTAAATCTCATGGCTGACTCAAAGCCGGCGCTGTACTGAACTAATCCATAACATGTACACTTTGAGGACAAAATGCATGCACAGTTCACAAATTCTAAAGCACCACCCTCGTTTGAAATTCCTTGTGAATTTCCCAGTACCCCTTTCCACCTGGGAAATACAATTTTCTGGTTTGCAAGGGAAGAAAAGACCTTGATAATATTTTTGGCCCACAAACACATCTTTTAAAACAACATCGTCATGTATTATGTGGAAATGAAGCCAAAACATATGGGTTAAGTTTCCTATAAAGTCCATATGAATTTTATGAAAACGGCAAAGAGGCTGGAATAAAATGTGATCTCCAAAGCAGATTCACTAGGGGTCCTTTTCTAACCCCAAAACGAAGCCAAATCTGTCTTGCTTTCATTACATGTTGAAAGTTTCTTCTTCTACTTTAGTAACTTTCCTAGTCAGTCCACATTTTTCACATTCCAAGGGAGTAAGCATAACAGAGAAAAAGAATACATCTTTCCATTATTTTTCCTTCATAGACACTACTTGGGTCTCTCCATTTCCTTTCTAGTTTCCCTTCCTTTCTGTATTAGAACTTTTTCCTTCCTCACTAGACAATTCTTTTTTTTACCTCCCCTATCCTTACTTCCTCTCTTTCTTTTCATTCTCAATCATATACTACAAGAATCTCTAGCTCTCCCACACCACGTTCAAGGCTTTGGGTGGTATATGTGCATCTGTTGTCAAGGCAACCTGTGGCTCACATGGGTACAGACATCCATATGAAGTTCTCCTGCACGACCACCCTTGTCAGCAAAAATATTCCTCCTCCACGCAGAGCCTCAACTCTCAAGTGAAGCCCAGCCAAGCAGGATAAAGAGCTGGGAGTGAGAATGAAAGGAGACAAGGATGAAACTGGAGAAGAAAGATGATATTATAAGCAACTACTTTCTCAGAAATAGTAACTAATCCAGCGAACTGCTCTTGCCTCCCTGCACACCAAGCAACTCTGTGCTTCCACCCTAACCCCATGCACTCAGCAAATAATCTGAAACTCAGTATCCCCCTGCCTACCTTCTTGGTAGGAAACCTCAGTGCTTCAATTGTACAGGTTGTGTATCCATAGCATTATCTAGCCTGGCCACAGAACGGGAGAGGGGGAAACTGAAAACCCTCTCTCTACTTAGCTGTGCAAAGCTCCATCTCTGAGAATGGGTCTGGTTTCATCTGTTGTAGCTATTATCATTGGCTCAGCAACCACTTGGAAATTCCTCGTAGATTTGTTAAGGTGGAACCTGCACTGTCTACTTCCCAGCAGAAGAATCATGCACTTATCTTCCCAGCTTCAAATGAGACAAGAAAATAGGAAGCCACAGCACTCAATGGAGATCCTTCTATCTGAGAGCAAGTCCAGGGCCAGTGTTTTCTCAAACAAATGGGATGAAAGTTTCCTAATTGGGAGTCGATCTAATGATAGTCGCATTACTAAACACTGTTGTAAAGCCTGTAGTCCAATTACTTCTTTTTCAAAAACTGAACAGTAGCCACCATTCCATGAAGCTGTCTGGATAGCCGAGTGCACACTAATGAGGTTCAAGGACAGTTTGACAGGAACATAAAAGGAGACATAAATTCACCATTAGCTACTAACCACACACACACACACACACGCCGCACAAACTTCCCATAAACACGCTGCTTTTACTATGCTGGTAACCAGCTTTACCTCTGACCAGCTTTCAAGCTTTTCAGTGGGAACCAACACTAGCACAAGCTAGACTTGTTCTAGCAAAGAGCAAATGCAACAAGCACTCAAGAAATGCTCCTTCAATGCTCTGCTCCAAGGGGCCACACCTCTGTCTGATTGCCCCTTTCCCACTCTTCTAACCCCCTTGAAATTTATTGAGCTCATGAATTCGTCCAATAAATATGAACTGAGCTTCAGATACGTACCAGTTTTATTCTAAGTGTACAAAAAAAATCTCTGCCCTCAGGATCGAGCAGGGAGAAATAGATAACAACTAAGGAAGTAGTTAAGTGAATTATATAGTATGTTAGACAGAGATGATGCCATAGGATACAAGCCCTTAAACAGGCTTCCCAGCCCCAGACTATGACCTGCTTTCCATCAAGGGCTGTGATATTCCTCTTCGCATCACCACACTGACCGAATACACGCTGGGCATGTAATGCAATGTCAAATTTTCTAAAAGCTTTTAATGAACAAATGAGTAAGCAAGAATTTTAACAGTTGTCTTAGAGGAAAAATGATCAGCAAGGTCCTGATCTGTAAGTGACAGAATGAGAAAAAGAAGTCTAAACGTCCTTGAAAGAGTCTATTGTATTTTGAAAAAGCATGTATTCCCCTTCATTATATGGAACAAGTAACAAGCTGAGTCACCTAAGAGATTATTCCTTTTAAATTAGAGATTCTTAACCTGGGGTTCCCCAGATTCGGAGATACATGTGAACCTCCTGAAATTGTTAACATGCTTGGGGTAGAGGGGAGTTATGTGCGCATCTCTGGGGAGAGTGTGACATAGATCGACAAAAATATTATCCTTGTGTCATGGAACTAGAATTTGAGTGAGAAATCCTAGGAATGAAGGCAGGAAAGGAAAAAATAAAAATAAAGAACCCTGAACAGTCACAACTGCAGAGCCAATATCCATTTGCAACGGGGTTAAATATTTCCTCCTTAAGCCAGTTAGATAACAGAAGACCCAGCAGGCTCCAAATTTATGAAGCTCCATCAGAAGAGAGAAGCTCAGTGCGAATTTCTCAGAACCAAGCTCATCATCATGACAAATTTAAAAAGAGAGAGAAGGAAATACTTTTACATCACAAATTGACAAGCCAAATACAGCAATTCCTTTAAGGAAAAAATATTAATATGGTTTTACCTTTTCATGGTTTTCAATTAAGATTTCCACAACAATGTTCTGGAACTTCAAGTCCATGATGGCAGCAACAGTTTCTTCCTGTGGCCTCATCAGAGTTGGTCCAAACACCACTCCCAAATTTGCCACGGTCATTAGGTTCTGCTTGGAGTGGTTTGAAACACTAACGTTGATGAGGGCAGAAAGAAAGGTCTCTGGTTAGAAGGTGAGCAAAAACTGTGGAATGTACAGTATTCTGCAAGATATTTCCCTAAATATCTTGGACTCAACTGTCCTCAATGTCTGCCTCTGAAATAACAGGATCCTCCAACAAGACCACACATCATGAGGCCCCTGCCTACCTCTCTGCTGCTCTCTGATACTCTCTGCTCTAGCCACAGTGGCTGGCTTAATAACTCCATCCACACACCAAGCTTGTGTCCCTCAGAGGCCTTCATTTACTGTTCCCCTCCACTTAGAGCACCTTCTCTGTCCCCAGATTACTGAACTCTTGCTCCCAGGGATAATACGACTTGGCAGAATTACCTTCACAAGCACATAGGACTTGGTCAGAGCACCCAAGTCCTGGGAACAAACTGGACAACTGTTCTCAGCAACTCCAAGGTCTCATCCTCAAAGAGACTTTCCATAATAACCCTCTTTGTAGTCCCACACCCAACAAATATTCTCTCTCTCCTCCCTCTCCTTTTTGCCTTTTGACCACTCATCACCTCGAATTATTTTATATTTTTATTTGTATTCTGTTTGCTGCCTTTTCCCCTTAGAAAAACAGGACTTCCTGAAAGTATCCTGTTCAACTATGTGTCTACTAACACCTAAGAAAGGTCAACCCTAGATGGTTTGGGTCAATAGATAGAGTGTCAGCCTGCAGACTGAAGGGCCCCCGGTTCAATTCCAGTCAAGGGCACATACCTAGGTTGCATGCTAGGGGCGGCTGCAGGAGGCAACCAATCAATGTGTCTCTTTCACATTGATGTTTCCCTCTCTCTCTGTTTCTCCTCCCAACCCCCCTTCCTTTCAGTTTCTCTAAAAATCAATGGAAAAATATCCTCAGGTAAGGATTAATAAAAAGGGGGGGGGGCATTTACTAACAACTATTTGTTGGCCAAATGAATAAATGGCTATACTGGTACTAGGACTCTACACAGGTCATAATATCCTCTGGCCTTCAGCTGCTTTTTCTGTGAAACAAGGGTTCTAAAACATAGTGCTCCTTAGTTTCCTCTCCCATCAGAAACTCCATAAATATAGCGATCAAGGAGTTATATATTTTTTTAAAAAGCTAACTTCTCTACTGGATTATTAGATTTTGCTTGCTTTTTAAAAGAGGGAATAAAAAGAATAGAATGGATCCTATGAAATACCTACCTATTCCTGGATTAATTAATCTTAAAGGGCATGTTCAAAGTCAGAGTTAGGTAGGTGTGAAACCAGGCTAAATTTGCTAACAGACTTATAATCACATTTCCAGAATCAGTGTGCAGGGAAGTGTATAATATTCTCTTCTTCTACTTCAAATCAAACCCCAAGTTGTTGGCAGTGATGTTAAGCAAATAATTACACGACTTCATGAAAGCATTGTGTTTCAACAGTCTTGTCCAAAACACACACAAGGAGTCAGATGTCCAGCCTGCCCTTCCAGGTGTGGCCCCTGGTATTGTGTATACAGCCCCAATTCTGACCGTTACAAATGCAAGAACACCTCACAACACCCGAGCAAAACGTTAGGAAGGAAAAGAGGCTTACTTTGTTAAGTGTTTCACCAAAATGTCCAACATCTCTTTATTTTTCTCTGGAAGTTTATGCACCAAGAAATGGATAGCATTCACACGAGATTCTGGACTCCCACTTTCTTTAAAAAGGAAAAAGAATAGTTAGTAGTGTATTCGGAATCAAATATATTCCTAAAAGTCAACACATGCAATATCTCACCAGTTCAACATCTTCAGAGAAATTAAACATGTTTTGCCACCTTTCAAAGGAAAAGAAAATCTCTCTCTCTCTTCCCTGTTCTGAACTTCTCTGCCTCCCTGGTGGGGTGGGGGCTTTCAAGGAGGCTGCAGCTCCTGCCTTTCTCCAGGCTGACACGAAGAACAGCCAGCCCAGCTTGTCCCCTGGCACGCTGCACTCACAGTGTGCTCATCGCTCACTTGAAGGGGTCTAGTCACCGTGTCCTGCCCACAATGGGATGCAAATAAAATATCAGCAAATAGCCGAAACCGGTTTGGCTCAGTGGATAGAGCGTCGGTCTGTGTACTGAAAGGTCCCAGGTTCAATTCCGGTCAAGGGCATGTACCTGAGTTGCGGGCACATCCCCAGTAGGAGATGTGCAGGAGGCAGCTGATCGATGTTTCTCTCTCATCG